TGGGGCTTGGGGGGCGATGGGGGACTTGGGGGGCAGGTGGGGGTTGGGGGGCAGGAGGGACTTGGGGGTCCAGGTCGGCCCCACAGCTCCAGGTTCAACCTACACGTGTGGGTCTGACCCACAGATCCGGGTGGGACCCACAGATCCAGGTGGGACCCACAGATCCGGGTGGGACCCACATGTCCAGGTCCAGGTAGGTCCCATAGATCCAGGTAAGACCCATAGATCAAAGTAGGACCCACATCTCCAGGTGCAACCCAGGCCTCCAGGTCCAGGTAAGACCCATAGATCCAGGTAGGACCCATAGATCAAAGTAGGACCCATGTGTCCAGGTCCAAGCCAGGTCTCCAGGTCCATGTGGGCCCCATAGATCCAGGTAGGCCCCATAGATCCAGGTAGGCCCCACATGTCCAGGTCCAACCCAGGCCTCCAGGTCCATGTGGACCTCCCAGATCCATGCAGACCCCACAGATCCAGGTAGGACCCAGGTCTCCAGATCCAGGTCGGCCCCATAGATCCAGGTAGGCCCCACATGTCCAGGTCCAAGCCAGCTCTCCAGGTCCAGGTGGGACCCATAGACCCAGGTAGGCCCCATAGATCAAAGTAGGACCCACATGTCCAGGTTGGACCCAGGTCTCCAGGTCCAGGTAGGCCCCATAGATCCAGGTAGGCCCCATAGATCCAGGTAGGACCCATAGATCAAAGTAGGACCCATAGATCCAGGTAGGCCCCATATGTCCAGGTCCAACCCAGGTCTCCATGCAGGCCCCATAGATCCAGGTAGGACCCACATGTCTGTGTAGGCCCCAGGTCTCTAGGTCCAACCCAGGCCTCCAGATCCAGGTAGGCCCCACAGATCCAGGTAGGCCCCCATAGATCCAGGTAGGACCCACATGTCCAGGTCCAACCCAGGTCTCAAGGTCCATGTAGGACCCATAGATCCAGGTCCAAGCCAGGTCTCCAGGTCCAGGTAGGCCCCATAGATCCAGGTAGGCCCTATGTCCAATCTGTGTCTCCAAGTCCATGTAGGACCCATAGATCCAGGTAGAACCCACATGTCCAGGTAGGCCCCATAGATCCAGGTAGGCCCCAGGTCTCTAGGTCCAGGTAGGACCCGCAGATCCAGGTGGGACCCATAGATTCAGGTAGGACCCAAGTCTCCAGGTCAAGCTAAGACCCATAGATCCAGGTAGGCCCCATAGATCCAGGTAAGACCCATAGATCCAGGTAGGACCCAGGTCTCCAGGTCCAGGTAGGCCCCACAAATCCAGGTAGGCCCCATAGATCAAAGTAGGACCCACATGTCCGGGTCCAACCCAGGCCTCCAGGTCCATGTGGGCCCCCCAGATCCAGGTAGGACCCACACGTCCAAGTCCAACCCAGGCCTCCATGTCCATGCAGACCCCACAGATCCAGGTAGGCCCCATAGATCCAGGTAGGACCCACATGTCTGTGTAGGCCCTGGGTCTCTGTGTCCAACCCAGGCCTCCAGGTCCAGGTAAGACCCATAGATCCATGCGGGCCCCACAGATCCATGCAGGCCCCATAGATCCAGGTAGGACCCAGGTCTCCAGATCCAGGTAGGCCCCACAGATCCAGGTAGGACCCATAGATCCAGGTAGGACCCACATGTCTGTGTAGGCCCTGGGTCTCTGTGTCCAACCCAGGCCTCCAGGTCCAGGTAAGACCTATAGATCCAGGTAGGACCCAGGTCTCCAGGTCCATGTAGGCCCCACAGCTCCATGTAGGCCCCACAGTTCCAGGTAGGACCCACATGTCCAGGTAGGACCCATAGATCCAGGTAGGACCCACATGTCCAGGTAGGCCCCAGGTCTCTAGGTCCAACTTAGGTCTCCAGGTCCAGGTAAGACCCACAGATCCAGGTAGGACCCATAGATCAAAGTAGGACCCACGTGTCCAAGTCCAAGCCAGGTCTCCAGGTCCAGGTAAGACCCATAGATCCAGGTGGGACCCATAGATCCAGTTAGGACCTACATGTCCAGGTAGGCCCCAGGTCTCCAGGTCCAGGTAGGCCCCAAAGATCCATGTGGGCCCCACAGATCCATGCAGGCCCCATAGATCCAGGTAGGACCTATAGATCCAGGTCCAAGCCAGGCCTCCATGTCCATGTAGGCCCCACAGCTCCATGTAGGCCCCACAGATCCAGGTAGGCCCCAGGTCTCTAGGTCCAACTTAGGTCTCCAGGTCCAGGTAGAACCCACATGTCCAGGTCCAAGCCAGGCCTCCTGGTCCATGCAGACCCCCCAGATCCATGTGGACCCCCCAGATCCCTGCAGGCCCCCCACGCCCGTGTCCAAGCGTTCTCTCCCCTGTCCCCCCCTGCAGGATCCTGCTGACGGTGGTGGTGATCTTCCGCATCCTGATCGTGGCCATCGTGGGGGAGACGGTTTACGAGGACGAGCAGACCATGTTCATGTGCAACACCCTCCAGCCGGGCTGCAACCAGGCCTGTTACGACAAGGCCTTCCCCATCTCCCACATCCGCTACTGGGTCTTCCAGATCATCCTGGTCTGCACCCCCAGCCTCTGCTTCATCACCTACTCCGTCCACCAGTCGGCCAAGCAGCGCGAGCGCCGCTACTCCTTCCTCTACCCCCTCCTGGAGGGCCACCAGGCCAAGAAAAACAAACCCCCGCACCCCGAAACGGGGGGTAAAGACGACCCAGAAGCTCTAGACCCCAAAGAAACCCCCAACGTGATGATGGGGGGCACAACAACCACCACCCCTCTGCGTCCTTTCCGCTCGTGGAAGAGCCGGCGTCAGGAAGGCATCTCCCGTTTCTACGTCATCCAGGTGGTTTTCCGTAACGCCCTGGAGATTGGTTTTTTGGCCGGGCAGTATTTTCTGTACGGTTTTAACGTGCCGGGGATATTCGAATGCGACCGGTACCCCTGCGTCAAGGAGGTGGAGTGTTACGTCTCCCGCCCCACCGAAAAAACCGTCTTCCTCGTCTTCATGTTCGCCGTCAGCGGCGTCTGCGTCCTCCTCAACCTGGCCGAGCTCAACCACCTCGGGTGGAGGAAGGTGAGGGCGGCCGTCAGGGGGGCACGGGCACGCAGGAAATCCCTGGGGGGAGGAGGA